GTGTTTCCGTGTCTCTCTGTCTCTCTGTGTCTGTCTCTCTCTCTGTGTCTCTGTGTGTGTGTGTGTGTGTCTCTGTGTCTCTCTGTCTCTGCTCTCTCTGTGTCTCTCCCTCCCCCACACCCCTGTCTCCAGGCTGCCAAAGACTGCTATCAAATGCAACTGAGTCCTGCGTTTTTCATCTGCATCACCAATTTGTCACTCGAAAATCCTGGTCTCAATCCTCCCTGGTTTTTCTAGAAACACCACTAGTGTCCAGTTCAGCAGGTCCCTTTCATGGGCTGGGCTCGCGTGTGAGGCTCTCAGCCCGGCAGGCGCCCCTTCCCTCTCAGAGCGCACCGGCGGGCCAGCAGGGGGCGAGGTTCGTTTCCGAACGGGAGACCCAGCCGGAATCACAAATGCCGCGAATGACACACTCCTTTCCTGATCTGGCCCGGAGTCTGTGTCATTAAAATTCTCACTTCTGCTTTTTCCCTATATTAACACTGTCTTCCGTTTGAGCACATCACATTCAGTGACAGAAAATGAGATCCCATGAACCACTGGAGGTGGACTTAAAATAGCCTAAGAACGGTATTTCATCCATGTTAGCGACATCACTCCAAGAAGCAGTGCTTTCAAAGAGCAGAATTCCTCGTATTCACTCTTCGGATACCCAGCGGTTTTCAAGGTCTCGGTCTATACTCAGCCTTTTTCTTGGAGGAAGGTGCTCATCTTCCCACACAGACTACACAGGGGCCAGGGAAGGTTGTGACAGTTGACACAGGGCCGTGTGAAGACTCCCGTCCTCCTAGTGGGGCATCTTACATGTTGCTGCCACCGCCGAGTGGGCATATCTATGTATAGCTGCCCAGCGGAGTGCAGGGAAGGTGTTTTGTGGGAAGGAAGACTCCTGCGTGGGTAAGTTTGGGCGAAGTCCCTCCTGGTCCAGTAACTTAGCTCACAACAGCAGTATGAGTGATGGGAAACAGGGGCTCCCGTGGGTGTGGGAGGGACAACACAGAACCACAGGCTTTTCTCAGGTCGGGGGAAAGACCTTAGAGATCAGTTGGCTCAATGTCTTCTTTTCCTGGTGCCCAGGGAAACTGAACAAATTCACTAGGGCAGAACTAGGGCAGAATGGGGCTATCTTGTGGGTATTTCCTGGTGGGCAAATGGAAACCTTCATAGAAGCTATTATCTTTCCTTGTGTATTCTGTATCGAAAGCTAACTGTTTAACAAGCAACCCCGTGTCACAGTGGCTTAACACAAAACAAGTTAATTCTTGCTGGTGGAACCACTGAAAATCAATGCTTCTTGGGCAGCTTCCATGCAGTAATTCAGGGACCCAAGCTCCTTCTATTCTGTGGCCCCATCGTCCCCAGGGGCCTTAATGTTTGCTGCTGAATACTCTGCGTCAGGCTGAGACAGGTAGAGAGGGAGAGTGAGGGACTGTGCAGGAGATGGGCAGGCCTGGAAGTGGGGCGCCTCACTGAGACTCACATTCTACTGGCTAGAGGCCACTCACAGGGCCATACCTTCCCGGAAGGAGAGCTGGGAAATGTAGTCCAGCTGTGTGCACAGGAAGAAGATGGGACGGCTTAGGGCAAGCACACAGCAGTGTCTGCCCCACCTATCTTCAAACAAAACAGTCTGAGTTCTTTTGGGTTATTTACACTAGATAGCAGAATGCACATGATCTTTGCAGGTCGACAGTTTGGATAGTGGCTCTGTGTAATCTTGGTCAAAGAATTAACCTTTAGCCTCAGTTTACTCAGCTGGGAAATGGGCTATCTTGTGAATATTACCTGAGATAAAGAATGTAACTTGTTTGTGTTACCACGTGGTCTCGCGTACTTGTTTGTAGAAACCAGTGGGACTGGGAGTATTGTTGGGGGAGGAGAAAACAGACTTCCTGTGTCCCATTTGCCCAACCCTGTATGCCAGCACTGCCAGCACATCTCCGTTAGATACCAAGAGTGGTGGAATTTTCTTCTGTCGCTTGCTAAGTTTTAGTGTATTTCATTCTAATCAATATGGGGCTTTGGAAGGAAAAAAAACTGTCCCCAAACCCACAAGCAACCATTTTATTTGATTCATAAAAATTCAGTCCCTGAGAAGGCAGTTCCAGCAAGAGAGTTTTGATCCTTCTTGCTCAGGCTGAGATGGTCACATCTAGAAAGCAGTGATTTTACTGTCGTAAGGTTTATTCTCTGTCAGGTTTATTGCCGAGTTTAAAATGAGGAAACTGAGACCTGCATGAGAATAATTAGACGCCAATTTATTTGTCTCCCTGGCGAGGTTCTATGGTCCAGGGAAAGGGGGCCAGAGAAGTCGCACCTGACTTCTCTCAGGCATGGGAGTTATATAGGGAGCGAAGCGCTCTGGTTGGCTGTGGAGAAACAGGATGTGGACGTTGCAAGCTGCTATAGGTTGGTAGGCGGGATTTCCAGTGAGCGGGCTGGAAGGGGCAATGCACTATTGGGCAGGTTTTGGCAGGGCTTCTTTTAAATTTTGGCAGGGTTTTCCAACGGCTGGCTAGGTGCCGAGTGCAGAGTTTAGTGTTCAGTGCAGGGGTGGGCGTGGTGAAGCTTCATGCTGAGCGCAGATTTTGGTGACGTAATTTCAGGTGTGGAGAGGGATGGGTGTGTCCGAGCCCCCAGCGAGGCAACCGGCCTTACAACTGTTTTCTTCTGAAAAAATAAAAATAAAAAATTCTGAAGGGCAGTGAAAAGAGAAATAATTTAAGCTGAAGAATCACTTTTCACTGACGGATGTTGATGCTCTAAGTCTAAATCTGGCTCACGGGAGTAAAGAGAACTGCTTTCTCATCATGGGTGCAACCCTGCAGGGTGAGATGTGGCTCAGGTATAGTGGTGTGCCCAGGGCCTGGCACATGAGTATTGGCACATTAAGGGCTTCGATAAATATTTGCTGATTGAAATAATAGATGAATGAGGACAGTTACACAAGTAATAACAATGAAAGAAATTTTTTGGCCTGAAACATCACGACTTTTATGAGGTGGGGAGGTGGTGAAATCTTTCATTTTAGTTTTTGGATTCCCTGAATGGCTTCTTCACTCATAAAATTAAAAATTTGCTAATAACACACACACACACACACACACACACACACACACACACACATACACACACACGCTCACACACACACATACACAAACACACACACACGCACACATGCTGACATTCTACAGGAAGGTAAAATAAAAAGGAAGTCCAATTGTGTCTTTTTAGGGCATTGTCCTTTAAAATAACCTTTCAAGCCCAGCTAGTTAAGCTTAGTGGTGATAAGATACTGAAAGCAATAAATAAATCCGTATCCGGAGCTCAGAAGGTTAACAGTTTTTTCAAGAAATTATTGTTCAAATCCAAGGGTAAAATGGCGCCTGAAATTACAAAATGTGGTCCTGTAGTGCCCTCTGGTGTCTTTTGCATGGAATTGTCAAAGTCTGTCGTTGAGCCCAGCTCTAGTCATTAGCATCATCTTGATTTATTTATGAGTCCGGGACTCTGGGGCCCTGGCTTATCTGGAGAGGGAGTAGGGGATGCAAGAAGCTGAGATTCCTTTTTTTTCAGGGCCTTTTTCAAATGGGTTACCAGCACAAAGTCAAAATAATTTGTATGTTAACCTTGGTATAAGATTTAAAAATTGAAACCAATTGTTATCTTGAAAAGAAGACTTTTACTTCCAAAAAGGCTTTTTTTATTGCCTTTTTTTCCAGAAGTCGTATTTATTATGCAGTTTTTTTTGTCCATTAAGATGTTCTTTGCAAATCAGTTACAGAACAGTCTTTAAATTCAGAAATTATCACATTTAATAATTGAACCATTCTTTAATTTTTTTGATACCCATTCAGTTAAATAAAAGACACGCAGAGCTAGACTATGAGATAGAATAAAGATTATGAATAAAATTAAAATATTCCAAAAGAGAATATTTTTATTTACAAAAAGCATTGCTATTTATTTCATAAGGATATTCATATTTTGAGGAAAGGAAAGTCAAATTATACATATTTGGCAAGTGAAAATAGTAAAAGGCAATCACTGAGAATTTTATTAATTCAATTTGTAGGTATTTAATGGGTGGCTCCAAGCACCACAGACTGGGCTTAGGCCTGGCCTGGGTGGAATCCCTGACCCTCAGAAGCTCCAGGCCCAGGAGGGGGAGACGCTCGCAACACCTGCTATTTTCAGTCCAGGGGATGCAGGCTGTGCTGGAAGGACAGCATGCAAGAAGAATCCTGTGAGGTTGGAGGATTCAGGGGAGGCCTCCCTGGAGGACATGACTTTGGAAGATAGGAGTCATCCAGGTGAGCAAGAGGGGTGGGACATCACAGACACAGGTGAGGCCAGCAGAGCGCTGCTTTGGAGCAGGGATGTGGAGGGGAGGAGAGGTCAACCTACAGAGGTCCTCAGCATGCTATGCTAAGCCGAGCAGTTTTGTAACAAGAGCCTGGAGTACTCTTCGGGATTTAGGCCAGAGAGAGACACGTGCAGCCCAGTAGCCCACAGAGCATGGGCTGGAAGGAGGCCAGCTGAGGTTGATCACAGATTTTCAGTGGAAGGACAGTGCATGTCTCAAATTCTCCTAGCTTTGTGACAATAGTCACCAACATTTATGGAGACCTTTGCAGGCAGGAGTGTAGAGCAGAGAAGAGAGTGGAGCTTTGGTGCTTGGCAAGACCTCCCTGAAACCCCGGCTTGGCCACTGCCAACCTGAGGCAGGTTTCCTGACCTCTTGAAGCCTCAGTGTTTTCCCTGGTGAACTGGGCATGACAATATCACCTTCCAGGATTGGAGAAGGTGTATAGGATATGATTGGCAGAGGGGCTGGCACACTGCAACTTGACTTTTATTAAAGGGAAAATGATTCACATCATGAAAGCTCCCCCTGCATATAATCTCATGGCAACACAAAACCATCTTATAGTGTCTGGTTATGTATATTTTTATATGATTATATAATTAATGTCTGCTCCTCCTTCTAGCCTGTCAGCTTCACAAGGGCAGGACTGTGACCTGCTGATAGCCATGTGAACCTTTCACCACGGTTCATGTGCATGGAAGGTGCTAGAAAGTAGCCATCAAATGAAGGACAAGGAGAATGGCTAGGGACAGCTCTGCCAACATCATCTTGCTTTAGTGACGACAAAACTAAAAAATGGTAAGGGAGCCCTTCATTCAGTATTTCCCATAACACTGTGATTCTGGGTCTGAAAACTTGTTTTGAAATGTACAGTTGAATTAGGGGCATTAGTGTCCTCATTCTAGTCAGGTGGGCGGATAGAGTAGTGGTTGAGAGAACTGGCCTCGGAGTCAGAAAGACCTGGATTAGAGTTCCAGCTTCATCACCAACTCCTCCATTGGCTCATCTGCAAAATAGAGACGAGTTGCTTTGTTGGCAGAGTCCTTCTGAGGACGAAACAAGACAACCCACAGTTATATACAGTTGTATGTAACTAATTAGTTAATACTATGTGCTATTTTCAGGTTTTAGCATTGTTTGAATATATATGTGTGTGTATGTGTTTATGTACTTTTTGGAAGTAAATTAATTCATTCTTCTTTATATATAAATATTAAAATATTCATTTTTATACAAATATGAAAACAATGAGAGACTGAATGAGTTGACTTCATTCCTAGGCCAACCTCGTGTTGGGTGCTGGGACTAAAATCCTGGTCTCTGGAGGGTTTTAGGAGTAATGTTTGGTGTCATTTAATTCTATGTAGGAAGTCTTCCTGTAGTTTGTTTGTTCCTTCCTCCCCACACTCATCAGCATGGGTTGAGGGCCCACCGCCTGCAGGCAGAGGGCTGCCTCAGGGCTGTAGATACAGAGAGGTCTGTGCTCCGAAGGAGCTGGGCACAGGCAGAACTTCTCAGAGGGGTGTGGGTATCAACCTTATGGTGTTTTGGAAATTAGGGCTGACGCTTTGGTCATCACAAAATGGAGTAGGCAATGAAGCTATTCTGTGGACAGAGGCCAGTGTTGCTGGAGATCCCAGAATCCCTAAGAGTAACGCCTGGAGTCACGTCACTGTGCTCCTCTCCACATTGTACTCTCATGGCCAAAGGCGGTCCTGCCTCCTGCACGGCTGTCCGATGTCCCACTGGACAGTCACTGACAAGCAAGGACCCTGGTTATAATTATCTAAGCCTAGTTCCTGAGTCTGTTTTATAATTAAACAGAAAGGCACATATGTGTGCGTTTACATGTTTTATTTTATGTTCACATAAATATATAAATGCTTAGTTTTTGGCTCTGAATTTTCCACCATGCAAATCAAGAGAAGATTGTACTTCATTGTGTTCAGGGTTTAAGAGTTTTTCTTCTGTATGGGATGAATGTCATCCGTGGTATCTGAGTCACCTGCACAGCATGCTCTGTGGGACCACACTGCGGGGCCCCTGCAGCACCCGTGGGGTTCCACGCAGGGGGCAAGTGCTGACCGTGGCTGTATGCCTTCTGGTAGTCACCTGGAACATTTACTTGTTGAAATATGTATATATTTTTTTTTTTATCACAAATTACTTTAGTTTTCCCTTTCAGTTACAGATAGGGCATTGTATTGATTTTGTTGTCATTGTTGAAATTGTGTGCTTAGGTAGATTATCTTATTTTCATTTCTGGGAAGAAAAAAGAGGCACTACAGAATATCTGCTGTAAGAAGGGGCTGGAGGGTAAAGCATAGGAGCCGCTGATCTAAGGGAGAGAGACAGGAAAACAGATGGAGAGATGGGTTGGAGGGCCCCTGGCTGCATGGGACTGGAAGCAGAGACCCTGAATACAAATAGACTAAAGCACATTTAATTTATTATTTCATTTTATTTTTTTGAGACAGGATCTTGTGGTGTCACTCAGGCTGGCATAAAGTGGCATGATCTCAGCTTACTATAACCTTCACCTCCTGGGCTCAAAAGATTCTCCTATCTCAGCCTCCCTAGGAGCTGGGGACTATAAGCATATACTGTGATGCCTGGCCAATTTTTACCTTTTTTTTGTTTGTTTGTTTCATCATGTTGCCCAGGCTAGTCTTGAACTCCTGAGCTCAAGTGATCCTCCCTCCTTGGCCCCACAAAGTGCTGGGATTATAGGCATGAGCCTCCGTGCCCAGCCAAAAGCACATTTAATTTAAAATGCTATCAGCATACATATTAACTGGAAAGAAAAATATCATAAGCATTCAAATCAAAATGTCTTCCAGCTTGCATCAGGAAGTAGAAAGAGTTGTATGTTCTGAACTTGACAGTTCCTTAACTTCTGCCCTGACTCTGAACCAGAGTTTCCATACCTGTAAAATCACTGGGTTGGGTTCAATCTTCTCTGGTGTCTTTCTTTGCTAAAATTTTATGAGTCATTGGCAGCAGCTGTCTGACAGTAAATCTGTCTCATTTTTCTTATCACGAACTTCATAAAGAGGCATGGATTTTTAAAATGTTGTTTTCCAGTAAAAATTTAAAGACTACCTTTAAAATAAAAATTGGGCAGAAGGTGAAACAAAACCCTATAATTCTATAAATCTGCAAGTTTGCAGAAATTTTACTTAGCGTACAACTGCTAGGTAGAACTTAATGAAGATGTTTGCGTTTCAAATCCATCTCTACCAATCATTAACTGCACGACCTTGCTTAACTTCTTGTCTCAAAATGGGAAAAATAATTATCCCTACCTCTAGTACTATAAGATTTAAATGAAATAATGCTTCCAAAACACTTAGAATATACCATGCCATTGAGTTGTACAAGATGAAAAAGTTCTAGAGATTGAATGCTCAACAATGGGAATATACTTAGCACTAATCAACTGTACACCTAAAAACAGTTAAGATGGTATATTTTATGCCATGTGTTTTTTACTACAATTAAAAAAAAAATGGATTGGCCAGGTATGGTGGCTCATGCCTGAAATCCTAGCACTTTGGGAGGCCAAGGCAGAAGGATTGCTTGAGACCAGGAGTTGAAGACCAGCCTGGGTGACATAGTGAGACCTCATCTCTACAAAAAGTTTAAAAATTATCTGGGCATGATGGTGCATGCCTGTAGTCCCACCTACTCAGGAGGCTAAGTTAGGAGGATTGCTGAAGCCTGGGAGGTTAAGGCTGCAGTGAGCTGTGATCACACCACGGCACTCCAGCCTGGGTGACAGAGAGAGACCCTATCTCAAAAATAAATAAATAAAATAAAAATAAAAATTGGATTGCAAAATATATATACAAATATACGTACTAAGTGCTTAACAAATATACTGCACCTCTTATTATACTACTTATTTGTGTTTTCAGGTGGGCTCTCATGCTGCCCATACATTCAACAGACAAGAGCCAAGTACTGGGCTGGCTGGGGAAGTCCAGAGAAGAACATCATTGCTGACCTCAAGAAGCTAAGGCCCTAGAAGGGAAGAGAGGGGAGTAAACACCTGCCATGGAAGGTGCCAAGGGCTACAGTAGGCATGTCACCAGCAGGATATGAGGATTCACCTTCAGCTCCCTGTGTGCTTATTGTGGGGAGAGCCCAAGGTGAAGGGTAAAGACAAAGGGGTGGGAAACTGCCAGAGGAGGCTTCCTGCAGTGCCTGGGGCCTGAGCCGAGGCATGGAGGTCACAGTGGAGCTGGCCAGGTTGAGATGGCACACTCTGGACTCTCTGACTTGATGATTGGAAGATGCTGGTTCTGCATCTGCACTGAGATACTTATGATAAGGGTAAACAAAAATCCCCTAAACAGGGAATCAGATGGTACCAGGAGCGAAAAGGCCCAACCCTGCTTGCCAGGAAAGACCAAACCCCAATCACTGGAAAACACCACCATTCCTTCCCCTAAAGCCAAAGCTTCTCCATGTGAAGGGGAGGATGGTAAGCCCCCCTGTGTGTGTTACACGTGGTCCAGGCAGAAAGTGCTGTGTCCATTGCTTGCCCATCCCCTGGGCCTGGCCTTCACAGTATCTGGGATCTGTTTAGGGGGCAGCCCCATTTACTTGCAGTTCGCCAGTCACATGCTGCAGCACAGATCCATTCCCCTCCACCTGCCTGCCACCCACACCGACAGGAGATGAGATGGGAAGTAATGGGCCTTCCTCTTGCCTCCCATATGAGCACTTGAAGTTAATCCGTATCTGGGCCTCATGACTCAACACATTATTCTGTGTATGTACTTTATTGCAGACTAATGGTTCTAATAAAATTAGTGCCATCCCACATTATTGGTTCAAAATTAGAATTACATGAACAAAACAGATACAATCTTGCCCAGTCTTATAGGGCTAAACCATGGACCCAACTGCAACATTTCTTCCTTTCTTACTTCTGTAGTTTCATTTTAGGTTGTCTTCAAGACTTTAAACGAACAAGACTTATTTCAACTGGATTTTCCTAAAGTTCTTAGGTAGGGTGAGTATCTAATTCAGCACGAAAACTGGGACAATCATGAGAGTGAAAGGCAGACTATTATTAGTTAAGCCAGGACAATAGCATATGCCAGAGCTGCCACAGGCTAACTGTGACAGGTGGGTGGTCACCCTATTTTTAGGGGCAGGCTGACCCTCTTCAATAGTCATCAATTAGTCTTGCTAAGTAATGCTGCTTTTTCTGATTGCTTTTTTTTTAAAAAAAAAATAAAACAAAACATTAATTTGGGGGCAATTATCTCAACAAATTTGAGAAGTTAAAAGGAGAAGCAAAGATATATTTACATCCAGACATATGTGATTGCTTGGGACTTCCTTTGATGTGAAACTTGTAAAGTATAAGGGGAAATCTGGGCTGGCATTTCTTTACTGTATACTTGTGACCTGGATCAAAATATGAAAATGTACTTTGAGTCAGATTTGAGCAAATGGAAACTTCACCCTTTGGCTTGAAGACAGACTGTACATCAGTAAATCTCAGGCTGTTTTTCCAGGAAATGACCCTCACTTAGAAACATCCAGGTGTTATCCAGGGAGCCTGACCTTGACTCCATGTTAATTCAAATGAAACTCGCTGTCTAGTATTCCTGCCTTCAACGCTGTCACCTGCCATCCATTCCACATTCTCGGCTAGCCAAGGAGTGGTTTTCCATATGAAAGCATGAGATATTCTGCTTTCTGTTTTGCCAGTGATCATGAAACATGTGAACCTGAGGCAAAAAAGTCAAGTGCTGTACCTTTGGTCCTTAAAGCAGCTGTGATTTCTCCAAATGTGAGGGCTGCATCTAAAAGCATGCTATGACCCCACTACCATGGCACAGGTTTCCGTGAAGACCCACTGTGATAATATACAGGACAGGGACAGATTTTGCCAACTGTAAAACACCATAACAATATGAGTTATTTTTCTTGTTTCAGTGTTCCCTGGATGGAGTTGAAATATTTTGGCAATCACAGATTGAACTGTAGATATCTTGCCCCATGAATGATGAACTGTGTTTTAACAAGGCAATACTCCACTGAGATGTAGGTTGCATATTTCTCTGTCAGAGCAGCCCACACTGAGCAAAGTAGACAGGGGTCTCGAGTTAGGATGTGTGTGGAGTCCTGGTGAGCTCTAGAGAATAAACAACTGATAAGAAGGAAGAAAGAGAAGGTGGGAAGGGAAAAAAAAAAGGAGGGAGGGAGTGGTGGGAGAACAAGGGAGGTACAGGGAGGGAAGGGAAAAAAGAAAAAGAAAAAAGAACAAGAGAAAGAAAGAAAGGAAAGATTCCACAAGAACTCCTGATGGTTTCAACAGCACGATTTGCAATTCATCCTAAGGGAGCTGTGGCACCCACCCATCCACTACCATCCAAGGGAAAAATCTTATTAGAATGTGGTCATCTTTCTCCTCAAAATAACAAGACAGAAAATGGCAGGTGAATTGGAATTACACTCCCACCTCGCAGTGTGTGGGTGAGATTTGATTTCTGTCCACCATGTGTGTGGTGGGCCTTGGGCACCCAAGGCTGGCATCCACACTGACATAGACTGAAGACCCCAATAGGAAGATGGCTTAGGATTGGGATGGAGCCAGGAGCCTTGGGATGGAGCCGGGAGCCTCGGGATGGAGCTGGGAGCCTCCTGCAAGGAGATGCTGATAAAACAAACCTTCATCAGGGCATCGTCTTTTATCAAGATTGTTCTTCCTCCTGTCTCACAACAAGCCTGTCCTTGTTGCGTGTGTGTGCGTGTGGAGGGGTGGGTGTGTGCTGCCAAGTGGGTGCATGCCTCTGTGTGTGCTTGATGTCTCATCTGGTGTGATTAAGGGAGAAAAGGGGTGGGGGACTGTTCTTTGTTTATTTTGCAGATAAATCTCATCTTTAATCTGGATGCATAGCAATGTCTTGTGCAAAGGAAAGGAAGCCCCCTACGCCACCCCTTGACATCCATATAAATCACAGGTTTTATTCCTCTGCTGTGAGGGGACATTGCAGAATGGAGCAACGTTGCAGACTCTCATTGGGTGATGCTTCATTACTTGGTGGAAAATCCCCAGGGCCAAAACGTTATTTAAATGTGCTATGAAAATAAATGTGATTTATATATGTGTCGTCTGCTGAGACGTTCTTCTCTGTTACTGCAGGTGCTGTCGTGCATCAGGATTAGCGCCTCAATTTATCGCCAGTTCAAGCTACACACATGCTCCATGACAGGATGTTGTCCGCATCCTCGAAAGTTCCAGGAAGGAGATGGTGTTGGCTGAGTGGTGGGCTTTAGATATTCAGCAGTATGGTTGACTTTTATGGGCTGAGAATGTGTGTGCGTGTGAGCACATGCGTGCTTGTGCATGCTGGTGTGGAGCCTGGGCCACTGTTTTGTTTGAAAGACGCAGGGAACAGACACTTTGTACTCATATGCATCAATTTCCAATGGCAGCAGATTGCTGTTTCTGGTTCAAAGATAAAGAAGAAAGCGAAATCTTCATTTCATCTCAGGACTGGGGCCCACATGTTTAGCTCAAAGTGAGTGGAAATCTCTGAAAAGCAGGTTTGGGCTAATGAATGTCAGCAGGCCTTCAATGTAAATGGGATTTGATTAGCAGGAAGGAGTGTGGTTGGGATATTTCCATTACCAAAGAAAGGTAGAGAAGCCAAGGCTTGTCTTAAGGGGATGAAGAAGGTCCCTCCAGCTGCCCAAGTAGAGCCTGTTCCAGTGGGCTTTCACAGATGCTCCAAAAACATGGGGCTAACCTTGGCTTCTACCATATGCCATGGGGCACCAGACCATTGCTCCAGACAAGTAAACTTGAGGTCCGAGGAGGTGGCAGAGCTTCGACCAGACACCACGAACAGAATACTCCACAACACAAAACATGCCACATCAGTCCTCACCGTTGCCTTGCCTCTGTGCCCTTCATTTTAAAGATGACAAAACTGAGGCCCACAGAGGTCAATATCCCACAGTTGAACTCTTCATACCTGGAGAATCCAGGTCTTCTGCTTCTGGAATCCTTCCTCAGGCATTCTTTTAACTGGTAGCAACTCGTGTCTTGCCAGTCTTGTCTCTAGCTCCCCTGCTCTGTTTTTCTTCAAGATTAAGGGTTCTAAGTGATATCTAAAGTAGGACCTATCTAGAAAAAAGACCTATATAAAATTCCTTTTAGATTGAAGTGGGGAAGCAAACAAAGGAACTTACAGATACACTCTATATTAGGCTGTTATTTGAAATAAACAACAGTAACTCTGTAGCACTAATGGGAAGCCTTAAAAAAAACCTTTTTATTTTGAAATAATTTCAAATCCACATAAAAATTTCAAAAATACTGCAAAAAGTTCCTGTACATGTTTCATCAGCTTCTTTCAATTTGCTGTGTTTGCTTTATCATTATCTGGGTATGTGTGCCTGTGTGCATGTGTGTGTTATTTTCTGAATGGTTTGGGAGTACACTGTACACATTCTACCCCTTTATCCCTAAATACATCAGTACACATTTCCTAAATTCATTCATACAACCACAGTGCAGTTATCAAATCCAAAAAATTAACATTACAATAGTATTATTATTTAACTTACAGACCTTGTTTGAATTTCAGTAAATGTCCTACTGATGTCCTTTCTAGCAAAAAAAAAAAAAAAAAAAATTGTTTTCCACTTACTTTGGGATTATGTGAAATTCATGTCTCGTGTCTCATTTATGGGGACTTATGTGAGAGGGTTGAGTGTGCTAAAGTTTTAGGCTGTTAAACTAAAAACTAAACATTACCTTAAAAATACATATATGTTATATCTGTAGTATCTTCACCTTGATAATTCTTCTTTGATAATTATAATTAAACATCCATAATGGGAAAATTCAAAACCTTTTTATCTGTGAACCAAAAAATAAAACCAGATTCTGCATTCCTTGTGCATTTCAATCCAGTGTACGTTTCCTCAACATCTGCTTGGTTGGGAGCTGTGCCTTTCTATTTGCCTGCTCATGAGATTTCTGAAAGTCTTGGTAATGGCTTTAGCTCTGAACCCAGACTGAGTAGAACAAAAGTCCAAGGAGTGTTTTGGCAAAATGTGGTGAGCAAGGGTGATTGGTCTGTAAATATGTTTCAGCAATGCTCAGTTTCTGAAGGAGTGTGGTGCTGGAGGTGCCCCTCATTATAGCCGCAAGGAGGTCGTCGGCTCCTGTGATCACATTGTGTGTCCCAGGACCCAGGGAGAGGCAAGTCACAAAATGTGAAGACAACATTGCTGGAGGAGTTGGTGTTTTCCACCGAGGAGGGTTAGTGAAACACCTTTATAATTCTGGTGTTGACAGACGGGACTAACGTGGGTTTTATAGGCTATCAACTGAGTTATATCAGGCTTCTCCTCTGGGTGGCAGTTATGTTTCAACCGACATGATTTGACTTGTAGTTTATCCAAATCGGTGTAATAATAAGCTAGGTTATAAGGGCGTTTACTTTGCCATATATTCTCAAATATAGTAAAGTTGTTATAAAACGAAGCAAATAAGGGCTTCTGTTTCTCCCACTGGAGCACAGTGAGGGTGTGAGAGTAATCGACTTGTTCCCCTCCAAGACATATCCATCCAGAAGTTCTGTAAAACTCTTTATTCCTCGTAGGGAAATGATTTTAGTCTTAGGAAGGAAACACATGGCTTTCTTCTTACAGCTTCAAGCTCTGTCTTGCCAGCTGCATTTATTTCCCTTGGCCTGGCACTAATGAAAGGAGACTTTGATGAGCTGTTTGAGTGGTCACTCCAGAGAGGGGGATGCAGAAAGTCTTGACTTTTCGGAAGGCACGCCTTTTGAGAACATTTCTGCCTTATCTCTAACACACATCCTGGAGAGACATCCCTGGCTTTTGATGAAAAGCTCATGGGGCCGGATTTACCTGCCAGAAAGGTTTTCTGTGGGTTGGGCTTCTTGGAAAAGTGATCTTGGGAAGGTAAAGCAGCTCCCACCTTCAGCCAGCTTGTGTATCTCCCAGTCCCTGCTGCGCCTGGTATACTTTAAAGCAAATTCCTGCCTTTTTATTTAAACTTTTTTTTTTTTTTAAGGTGTTAGCAATCTGTCTTACGTTCTCCCACCCCTGCTGGGATTTATGATCCAGTTCGTATTTTACTGCACGATCTTGGCAGGCTCCCCTCGTTGAAATTCAAACCGAAGCAACTCGATGGGGGAACAGACATAAAAATATTAATTTGGTAGATATTAAAAAAAATCACACTAGTTATAAATCAGGGGCTGTCCACTGGTTCCTTTCATCATCTAAATGGTCCTTCTAACCAGACTGCAAATCTTACTGGAAAGGAGGAGGGGGTTTGGAAGGCGGGGGTTCCCTTCCTGAGGTTTTGGAGACAGCTTACATCCAACACTTCCTCAAACCTGGCTTTGTTTTCTAAAGGTAATAAAAAGTGAGTACTTCTGGTACAGGCAGGCTAATTAGCTGGCCTCACAGAACAGACTTGGGGCTTATAAGAAAGTTGGCTTGGTCTAAAATAAATCAGGTTGTGGAAATGTCTAAATGTTGATTTAAAATAAGGTTGGGGAGACATAGGATGTGTCTCCTATGTTGATTTAAAATAAGGTTGGGGAGACATAGGATGCTGTGCCATGAAGAAAGACTGACCTACACTCACCAGCAGTGGAGCACTCAGTGATGCTCTGCAGTGGAGCACGAAAGAGCCAGGGGGCCCATTTTGTTAGGAGGTGTTGTATGGAGAAGGATGATGCAGGGTTGAGGTGGTAAAGGCCAGGGGTAGCAGACCACGGCAGTGTGTACCTGCGACCAAGCCTGAGGATGGGACAGTGCGCCTATGTCTCAACCCTCGGATTTTAATAGGGAGAGCCATAACTAGGTAGAACCAGGGGAAGGAGGACAGTTACATTCCTGTTGGGTAGAATTAAGAAAAAAGTGGCAGAGAATTTCTCTTCCTGTAACGATGTTTTAATGGACTCTTTCATTTCCATCTTATGGCTGATCTTTACTGTTAAAAGACTCTTGATAGGTACTTTAAAATTTCATGAAAACTCCAGGAATTGGTTTTAAAAAACTGGATGGTTGGAAGGCTAAATACTTCTATAAAGAGAGGCTAATAAAAATGGAAAGCTGTCCTCATTATAAATAGCCTTATATGCAAAATAGTATGTAGTCATGATGGAAAATTCATTAGTATTCTAGAAGTCCAAAGTTCTATTTAGTGGCAAACATTTTAATAAAGCAAATGAACCCCAAATTCAACCTCATTAGGCTTGTTGTTAAAATGCATGATATCATGAAGCTCCAAGCACATCTACATCTTGAGATTTAAGGAGAAAGAAAATTCAGTAGCTGGAAAACAAGCAACAAGTTTTCCATAAAAATCAAAGCAAGTTCTTGATTCAGATTACTAGCATGACAGCAGGAAGAAAAAAGATTGTAAACCAACGCTTTTTTTTTTTTTTAAGGGAAAATATTTCTAACTAACAATTGGTTCATATTACTTATCTTCCGTCTTTATAACAGCATTAAAGCAGGGGTCTCATTTCTGCCTGAACAGTATAATGATGAAAATTATTTCATCTTAAACAGAGATTTTTCTATTTGGTTACCATGCAATCTAATACTGACAGTGCCTTGGACTTGAAAAATGATATTCTCATCTCCGAGAAATAGAAGGCGGGAGAAGGCACAGCCATTCTGAGCTTTACTCTAAAGCAATTATGAGCTCTTCACAACTCTCAGACAAGAATTGATTTCTATTTTTAGATTATTAAGCTGTGGGTGCAAGGAAGTCATAGAATATGTGACCTAGTTTTGACCTTCTAGATTGAATTCCTCTTGAATTGATTCAATATTGAAAAGGAAAACTTTTAAAAAGCATTTCTGCCTTATATTTTCCCCAAATTCCCTTTATTTTTTCCTATCTTTACCAAAACCTTCATGTTCTTAAACACAGATGAGTAAGCAGTATAGTGAATGTGCGGTATTGGAATAGAACATAAACACATCTGAATTAATGAATTAGTTGTCATGTCCTAAAAAAACTCAACAAAAACCTCCAAGAGGTGATGATGGATGTTATATTTGATGCTTTCGTTGCCATCATCAACGTGCTTCCTCTCGTGCATCCAGTAGGGTCTAGCAACTTGCATTGTTGGCAGTCATGTCACTAGTGGTTTTTGGAAAGAGTGTTTACATATACATTTGTGTAAATTGAGCTGCCCCAGGAGACCTAGAAAGGTCCGCTGGCTAGATTGAGGGCCTTTCCAAAGAGGCAGAAAGACCAGTGCTACCTTCTCTGACCTCTTCAAATAGCTCAGACATGCTCAGATTGGGCCACCTTCCAATTTTAGTACTGTCTGGAATGTAGACTTTGGAGCCCACCAGATTTCTACCACCCCAACCTGGGCCATTAATAAGCCAGCACCCTCACTGTTTCCTCAAGAGCACATATTCATCCCTGCCTTCCTTCACTTGGATTCTTAGGATATTCTCTCCTGCTGCTTCAGCTCTCAGCTCTTCCCAGAGTCTTCTATGTGCTTCCCCTGACCATCTACCTCAGCTCTTGCTCATTCTGCTCTCTTTGCAGCCTCTGTTGCATTTCTGGAAGAGCCTTTCTGGTTTGGCGCTCAGTAATAATGAGGCATTCTTTTCAATGGAGCCCTTTTCAACTAGAGATAACCTCACTTCTTTATGTCATGTTTCTGCTGTCTTTCTTTGCATATAACAGTACTGTTATTGTTGAGTGGTTAAGCAAAAATTGAGCCACTCTGCACTATTATACTTTATAATAGGCAGATGATACTTTTTGTTGGTTTTTCAGAATGGGATGGTCAAAATGCTTGGGTAGGGACAGCCTGGTCTGATGTAGATTGGCCAAGAGAAGCCATGCCGGAAGGGGAAGAAATGGAAAGTTAGCTACTCACAGCAGAACACTACACAGTCCTGAATACCAGGGTTAGAGGAACCTTGGAGATGGGCCAATTCAAACTTCTCCTCCCTTCCTGAGTACCTCCGTTCTCTGGGGTGAGCTGTGGCAGGGATTGCCCTTAATAGTTGGATTGAAGCAATCACATATGCAGTAAGTAGAGAAATGAGATTAAGATAAGAAGGAGGCCCCCTGGAGATGTTGATGCCTCCTCCTGGCAAAAATGAGGGAACTCTGGAACAGATTAATTTCCTGAAAAGGGCTGTGACATTTCCATTGGAACTACTGAGCTGATTATTAACCCTAAACAAGAGCGGCAACTCGTCCCTGTGCAACGCTGGTCCTGAATGGGTCTTCTGGGAGAGCAAAGCTTTAGAAAGAAATATCTCTACTGGTCTGTGAAGTGGGCACACAGCCAACCCTGTGATGACACAAGACAGAATCATCTTAGCTAAGCAGACCTCTTGCCAAAAGCAGAGACCAGAAACTTCAAATCATATTTAACATTTGTTGTGTTTGGTTTTAAGTAAAAGCAGACTAAAGTACAATGTGCATGCATACATAAAGGCTATAACATTAGTACAGACAGCTGGCAAATCATTAATTAACAGCAGTGATGATCTTCAAATAGCACTCTGGGGAGGCCAGAAAAAGAGGGAGTTCCCTGGACCTGGTTGCAGTTTTGCCCATGAACTGAATTCATCCTTAAAAAAAAAAAAAAAAAAAAAAAGAGATGGTATAGAGAAAGGAGAAAAAGCCACATAGATGCCATCTTGGCACCTTCTATCCCTCTTTTCTCCTCATCCAGAGAGAACAAACAGTGAACAAGCCACACAACCCCTCTGTCTGCAAGGCATCCCCCAAACCAGACAGACACCAAATGAGCTGTGGGCACATGAGGCTGTGCCCAGCACTGGATAATTGTGCCATAAATATAATTAAAGTCAGCAGGAGGACCATTATGGAGAGAACCAAACTAAAAAAAAAAAATTAGTACTACTGAAGAAA